GCCATTATAGCTGAATGTTTTTATCAGCAGGAAACACGGATCTGGAGGCGGAAGCGGAACGGCATCCGTGCCGGGTCAAACCCGCGGCAGCCATTGTTATAGTTGATTAGATTATAAATATGTGATACTGATCCAGGGATCCAAGGAGTATCATTAAAATCTCTCTCTTCTGAGTTACTATTCTAGCTTGAATCCTCAAGTCATATATTTTTATATTACTCTACTACCTACGACCTCCAACGACCACCATCATGTCCAAGCCTGTCTTTACGGAGGAGGCTGCGTCGCCTGAGTACGCAGCCCAACTCGACGCACAAGATCATCTTGCTGCTTTCAGAGACAAATTTATCATTCCCTCAAAAGCAAACATCGCTTCTAAGAAGCTTGCTAAACCCGGTAAATATCAGATATCCCCAATCATGAATGACCTTGATTCCTGATAGTCTGGGCAGGACTCTCCTCCGAGCCTTGCATTTACTTCTGCGGTAACTCTCTGGGGATTCAACCAAAAGCGACCGTCAACTTTGTCGAAGCACAGCTAGACACCTGGGCGTCGATTGGGGTTGGTGGCCATTTCACTGATCTCGAGGATTCCCCTCTGAAGCAATGGCAGTTGCTATCAGAGCAAGCTGCAGCTTCCATGAGCAAGATTGTTGGGGCCCAAGCAGACGAAGTGGCAGCCATGGGAACCTTGACGACAAACCTTCACCTTCTTCTAGCCAGCTTCTACAAACCCACTGCCACCAAGCATAAAATTATCTTGGACTGGAAGGCATTCCCCAGTGACCACGTACGCAAATGCCCTCGGTGAAAAGACTTATGTTCTGAGTTGAGACTGACAGTAGCATAGTACGCTATCGAATCTCAGATTGCCTGGCATGATCTGGACCCAAAAAAGTCCATGGTATTGATCGGCCCGAAGGAAGGTGAATACGAGATCTCTACCGAGAGAATTCTGTCCCTCATCGATGAAAACGCCGATGAAGCGGCTCTTCTTCTCCTCCCTGGTATCCAGTACTATACCGGACAGTTCTTTGACATCAAGAAGATCACTCACTACGCACACTCACGGGATCTCATCGTCGGATGGGATCTAGCTCATGCTTATGGCAACCTGGAGTTGAAGCTGCATGAGTGGAATGTGGATTTCGCGGCGTGGTGCACATACAAATATGGGAATGCGGGTCCCGGCGCGATGGGCGGGCTTTTCGTGCACGAGAAGCATGGCCAAGTTGACTACTCTGAAGGAGAAGACGCTCCCAAATTTCGCCACCGTTTGACTGGCTGGTACGGCGGTGACCGGTCAGTGAGATTCAAGATGGACAACAGTAAGTCTCACTGCACCTTCCGGGTTCATGCATCTACAGAGTATCATGAACTGACAATCGGTTCACAGAATTCAAGCCCATACCTGGCGCTGGGGGCTTCCAGATCTCAAACCCCTCGGCCATCGATCTCGCAGCTCTGTGTGCCGCGCTGTCCGTCTTCGATGGCACATCAATGGCAGAACTTCGCCAGAAGTCTGTTCGGCTGACTGCATACCTTGAATATCTCTTGCTCAAGGACTATGATGAAGAGTCGAGACCGTTCCGCATTATCACCCCGGAGAATCATGAGGCCAGAGGAGCGCAGCTGAGCCTGTTGCTGAAGCCTGGCTTGCTGCAAAACGTATCTCAAAGGCTGCAGGAAGCCGGTATCATCTGCGATAAACGGGAGCCAGACGTAGTGCGCGTGGCACCCGTCCCGCTGTACAACACTTTCAGTGAGGTATGGACATTTGTCCGGATTTTTAGAAAGGCACTGGAGGTTTGATCCAAGCTAGTAGTGTGAAAGAACAAAGCCAGGCGAGATGAATGTACAGTTACCACGATTAATGTATACGAGATTCATGATTCCAAGTCTTTCGAAAGCGTCTTGCGTTTCCTGCGTCTTATAGTGCCGATGATTCGTGATGGTTCGAGAAACCAAGTTTTCAGAACTCTCTCCATAATCAGGCAGTAACGAGCGTAAATTCCTCCTACTATGCAAAATGACATACACAGTCTTTGGCATGTAGCTAGGTTTCAGAGGTGACCGAAACCATCTCTGCCATCACCCCTCGGCAAAAAGTCTTGAGCTTGAGAGAAGAAATTCGCGGCCAAGATCGAGAATTCGTCATTCATTGGGTCAGGTGATCGAGATGAGCCCATGGACCCCATTGGATCTTGTCCGCCTACAAGGAGCGAAGTAGGCAGGTTAAATTGTGAGCTTGGTGATGACGCTGACGTGTGGTGAGAGTTGAGGCGAAATGGTTCAGGCAAGGGAGAAGTTTGGGAAACTTCAGCCGCGATTGTAGGAGGCTCAGAGTACAAAGAGTCCCCGAACATGCGACGAGCTGAGTCGGTGTCACTGTTGGAGGAGTATTCGAGGATCTCCCAGAAGCGGGACAGGTCTATGAGGAGGTATTTACTCTGTAGGCCTGACGCTGGCTGATAAGATGCAGACACAGCATCCTCCAGCTTCTGTAGCCTGTCCGCCTAAACACACATTTTCTGTCAGCTCATGCACAGAGATAGCGGATGAGCGCGTCAGCTTACCAATCGTGCCATATGAGGCCATTTTTGTCCCAACTTCTGCACAAACCTGACACACCTGTAGAAACGGTCCCGCTTCTCATCACGAATAGCAGCATTCTCAGTAAAACTAAGCTGCAGTTCAATCGTAGCTACCACAGCAGCGCTATATCCCAGGAACGGATCGGAGATCGTAAAACACCGCTCTTCAAAGAAGTTAATGAAATGTATGATCCATGTTGTATGAGATGAAATGAGATCCGAGCTATGCTGGAGAAATATCTCAGGAATGGTACTTCGAAAGTTCCTGAGACTGAGCGAAAGGAGAAGCGGATGATTAACCAGGCATAGTATTGTGTGGTATAAGAACTGGTTCAACAACCACGGACCCCAGTAGTCTCTTCTTGCCTGAAGCTCTTCCAGTGTCCTTTCATTAAGACTAGCTGGTTTGAACCTGTGAATGTAGGGCATTTGAGTCTCGAGGTCCATTTGAGCAGCCAAAATCTCCGAGTAGTCTGATTCGGACGACCAAGGAGGCAATTTCCCAGGTTTCCCATGGCGCCGGACATACTTGGCAGTTTTTGCAAAGACACCACTGAGCATTATCATGTACGCGAGAATACCCTGGTCATGCATTCCTGATGACCGAGTTTCATCGGCCGCATCAATCAAAGAGTTCGGTGGTGGAGGCCTACTTGGACTCTCGGGGAAAGGGGGGAAGCTTCCCTCCGGAGAATCTAAGTTTTCAACGTCAACGCCATGAAGACGTTTCAGCAGATAGATGCTCCAGAAGCAACGCCTACGTTCTTCACGTGTTAAGGAGAAATGTGACGAATGTGATTCCGAGCCCAGATTGGCAGACTGTGCCAGGTTCAATGCCAAGCTACAATGAATACTTGAGCGATGTGTATTTCCGTCTGTTTCAGTTAATCAAAAGTACGTCAGACATGGATGTATCACCTACTGGTAAAGTCAACAAGGCTTAGTAGGCATAAGCTTTGGAGTGTGGAAAGTTCAACTGGTCCTTCCGAAACCCTTTTCATGACCAGACCTCTAGCAACTTCCGTATAGCCATTGATGAGAGACGGGAGTTCATCAGGACTTGACGCTTCGTCATCTGAAAACCGTACACTTAAGGCTAGGATGGCGTAGATTATCTCTGGATCACGAGTTGGCAGACTTCTCAGAAAGCTGTCCCTGTGAAATAATGGGAGAGGCTGAGAGTCGCAGTATTGTAGATACAAGTCTGCTATTGACAATACCTTCTCCCATCTGGGTAGCGGAGTGAGTGCACTCGGTGCTGAGTAATTCAATGAAGGAGTCAGGGAAACCAGTCCGGTAGTTGCTGCATTCTGTCGAGCGCGACTCTGTGCGTTTCGCCTAGCGACAAATCATCAGTCACTGGTGCAACAACAGTGAGAACGTGACGTCTTACTCCAGGGTGTCCAGGAACTCGCTCATCTTAGCTTCCCAGCTTCCCAGACGATCTTCCTACACGTAGCAAAGTTAGACACAACCAATAGCCAAGGCATCCTTTCGGGATTACCAATATCTGTGAGATCCTAGTCTCCGAGGTGGAAATGCCAGAAATCGATTCTCCTGAATAGCTAAGACCATTGGTCAATGGCCTTCGGTGCTCTCCAGCATAGGTGCATGTTTGATTTAACCGCGCACATAGAGAGCAAAGTGGTTGTTCCCCAGGACATTTTGCCTTTTTCCGCCTGGAAAGAATCAATCATTAATGTGTCATATAGCGCGATGCCGGGCAGTCAGTCCGGCTTACCTGCACGGCTCACAGGCTTGCCGCACTCGCTTAGCGGGCCGTTCAGGAGTAGCGGACTCCAAATCCATCTCAGTGGAGTATTTATGTCGGGTTCTCTCCACAGTTCTCGACTTTGAAATGTGTTCTGTATTTCCAGTGGGCCCTGAACAACAGATCCCCCGAAGTGGGAAGTAGCCTAACGCAGGAAGTTTAGTTCCCTGCGGAAGCCTCCCGAAAGTTGTGTATATCAGGAAGAAGGCACATTTTACATCGGTCGAGTACTTGTGTTGACTGCAATGACAAGGGCAATAGCTCAAACTAAACAGCTTCAGATGCCACAAGGTCGTAGTCAGGAACACTACCCAAAACAGTGAGGTATAACCAGTGAGTGCTTGCTTGCATGTGGACGGGATAAACCGCATGTGGATGACTAATCAGCAGCCTAGTCAATAAGGTAACCTGGTTGAACTCACTTAATAATGCTATATAATAAACCAGATATGTAATTACCATGACTGAATACGAGGATGTAGATTTTAGAGAACTTATAGCCCGCGTAGAAGAATCAGCTGAAGGCTGGAGTGTGCCTTGGTGTCTATGATACGAGAGGTAGGTCGCTATGCTAATTCTAACCAATCACGAGGTGTTCATTTGGCCTGTTATCCATCCTGATTGCCATATGGCATGATGAGAGAGGCCCTTCGATCAAGACACAGCGCTCATACTCACAGTCAGAGTGTTGACCGATTTCAGGTGGCGTAAGGTGCTGGTATGAAACCCTGCTAATTGCCGCAAGCAGAGTCGCCTAATAACAACATGATACACATTCTCATCTTTAGGTGAAAAAGAACCTAGGTGCTTCGCATGTCCTGTGCTCATATCGAAACTCCAAAATCGCACGGTACAATAGTAGTGTGGATCTTCAAGCCGAAACAGGAAAGAGGAAAGATTTCACACATTGACGCCCTAGCTTGATTTATGTACAACGTCGATAATCCCAGTCTTCCTCTCAGATGAACCGTTACAAAAACCCAGACATACCGCCAATTGGAGTCAGGGAATGTCAATCGCGAGACGCTGCGGGATCATACTTGGCATGGCAAAGTATTAGGCGTTTACTCCTTACCGAACCAGGTCTTGTGGCCCTGTTGTCAATATTAGTAACTGACTCTGCAGGAAAGGAAGCATTCAAGTGTAGCGTAGACGTGGGCAGCACTTACGAAGACCATGCGGCCCATGGCATAGGTGGTAGCTGAAGAGACGTTAGTATAGACAACTCGATTGCGCTAGAATGGGTATTGTTCACCAATGCCGAGACCATAGACGGAGATGAGGTAAGGGTACATAATGTAGTTGCTGCGCTCGGTCTGTGGGTTGAAAGGAGAATGATGTTAGACCTCCATACTACCATGCAATCATTCCAGACCGACTAACCTTGTACCACTGACGCTTGCCGTCGTGCTTCTGGAAGAGACGCTGGTAATAAGGGACACGGTTCTCACGGAACACGAATCTAGGGAAATATTCAACATATGTCAGCCATCTGGAAGTCAATGGGGTATGAGCAGTGGTCAGAGCCCGGTCAATGGTGCGCAAACCGAGCTGACGAACGAGTTATGAATCGGGAGCGCAGAGGTCGTGCAAGGGGATGAAGATCAAGAAAAATTAGCAGAGGCTTACCCAGCCATGCGAGGAGCGGTGCGGAACATTTTGGCGGTTATGTAAATGCGACAATAACGAGATTTTCTAGAGAATGAAGACGAGAATGGCAGCTTGAAGATTAGCAGTAACAATGATCAGTCGATGTCGTGAAGTGTGGACCCGAGCATATCCTGGTCACGTGGTTACCCTCACACTTCCGCCTTTAGGATGCAAGGCTTATTAATTTCACGTGATGACGCAGTACCAAAGCTAACTCAACTAGGTATGGCTCAACAGGCTGGTCTCCCCCAGAAAAGTAGTTTCCGCGGAATCCAAGTGCGCAACAGTTGAGCTCAATCAATCACCACCAATTTTCACATGTGCAAGAGATTTTCCGTGCCTTCAGGGAGCGAATGAGGAGGATGGTCAGATCTATCGTTCTCCTCTCTTCCTTTTTGTCTCAAGACTCATGCGCCCGGCTCTTCTTCGATTACTGAAGAGACCGTCAGCTCTTTCGGTTCTCGACTCCCTGATCTCAGCACCCGTCGGGGTGGAACAACTGGAGCTTAGACGCGATCAAAGATGTCTGCGATGTCTATCGAGGAGTACCCGACGAGAACATCACGTATCCACTGTCAACCCAGAACAAACATCATGCAGCGAATCTCTCTCTCCCTCGACAAGGCGAAAATTGAGCTTTCAGGTCCACAAGATCAAAGCACCGAAGGCGCAAGCAGAAGACAGTATTGAACACGGTGAAAGCTCTCCCGACAAGCAGGAGTACTTATCGCGAATTCGATTACAAACAGAGAAGCTGGAATTCGAGTCAGATATTGGACATGCACGCGACATTGGGACTCGTCTGGTGGATGACCCACGTCACCGAAACGATTTCAGACTCTGGGTAGAGCTATTACGCTACCGTCAACGGCACTATGGAGAGCAAGGAACAATGGTCATTTGGGAGGCTCTGACTGATCGCGTGGATGACGTACAACTCCCAGTGGACGGGGACTTGGCCGATTTTCTCTGGCAGAGCTTTGTCGACCTCGGGTTCAAGCGAGAGATTGTGATGGTTGAGGTGGCTGAATATGCGCGAGCGCTCTGGAGTCAGACTGGGAACCGATGGCCCAAGCTCTACGAAAGAATTGTCGGCGGGTTCATCGAACGCGGCATGATAGACCGGGCTGAGGAATGGCATCGAAAACTCCAGGATCCACATCTAGCAAGCCCGAATGACATTCTACATGTTCTGAGACCGGACGTCTCTGCTCGCCACTCTAATAATACCGTTGTGAGTATAAACAAGGCTAAAGACCAAGGCCAAGGCTTCCTACCAAGCCTAGTGGCGTTTCGCAATATCTGCCGGTCGATACAAGGTCACCAGATATACGTTCCCACCATGTCTGCCCTCCTTCAAAACGACCTTCCTGCTCAAGAGCTGGTACTCATGCATCTATTTTTAGTGGGTAAGGGCGATCATCCCCGCTCCTACAAAGAGATAGAGCCATTGATCCACGGTGCGGAAAAGCGTGGCCTACAATCGTTCCGGCAGAAGCTCCGAGCTTATGTCGACCGTCAATTCCCCAGTGAGGTTGAAGACGTTCAAATCAAAGACTCTGAAATTGAGAACTCTGAGCATAGACTGCCGGCGAACCCCGGCGAAAGAGAGTTCTTGCATGACCAAAAGCCCATCAAGGACGACCTTGGCGCGCGCATATTCGCTACGGACGCTTTGAAATTTGAACTCATTCTCTCTGGCTTCAAGATGTTTGGTGCTACTTCTATCGGACCACAATCTTTACGAGAAATGGCAGTGAGAGCCCATGGCAGTCGCGATCTACTGGAAAGGCTTCGGCTTCTGCAGGAAGCAGGTATTTCCATCGGGGACTCGATCTTTTCTCGCCTTGTCCGCAAGCTAGCCACAGAAAATCGTGGTATTGTTCTGGCAGATCTACTTCGAAGTGATCAACATCCCGACATGCTGGAGGATACGCGTGTTCAAGAATCTCTTTTGTTGTCTCACTACCTTAGTCGGGACTGGCGTCGCTACAACCTGACCCTAGCCATACTCAGCGAAATAGCTGATGAAGGACCAAACATGTTCAACATCCATTTTCGAAAACATCTGAGAGCGGGCGAGTGGGAGTTGGCATCAAAAGTGGTCGATGAACTAGCTTTGCGCGGAGAGCCTCTCACGAAGACAAGCATCGACTTAATGATCAAGCATGTTCTCACGCCACGACGGCCTGGGTCTGGACCGATACGAGCGCCTGGCCGGCCACCGCAAATCGAAGTGGCGTTCGTCTTCCGTGTTCTACAACGCACCATTCCATTGGGGTCAACTGTATCTGCCAGGCTCTGGATTGAGTTGATTAAACGACTGGGCCAGACAGATTCCTGGGTTGAGCTTCGGAGGTGTTGTTTTTGGCTAGCACGCCATTATTCTTTCACTGGGCCGCAGAAGGATACACCTCTGGACATCATATCAAAATCAAGCGCGGCACCACATTGTCGTACTTCTCCAGTTTCGGAGCAGAATGCTGACATGCTCCGGACAATATTCAACCGCCACGTCCAGGAAGCCCTCGTGCATTGGGGGTTTCGAAAGCGAGTCTCTCCGAACATCCATCGCTACCACACGGCCAGTGATCCGATTCCATGGGTACGGGGCCTCGCTTTTCTGCGTGAGCTGGAGCGTAGCGGTGTTGAGCTTCAGGTAAGCTGCATCAGCCGCGCGTGTCGGCAACGGCTTGCTATTGTCTTTGGACGAAACCGACGGTCTAGCCGCCCCATGAACCGCCTGTTGCGACGAGAAAATCCTTATACTCTTGAGAAGGTACTTGGTGATATCAGCCGCGTCTGGGGAGAGCCATCCTTGTTTGCAGGCCGAGAGCACATTGATGTGTTCCGACTAATTAACCCACCGAGTTCCAAGATGTCGTACCGCAGGACACGTAAAACCCTCTGGAGGAAGCAAAAACTGCGGGGGCCGGCTTTCACCCAGAGCCGGTCATAATGTACAACAGACAGTGTATATAGAATCCAATAGACCGACAATATATCACATGTCTAGCTTCTAAGGCTAGACAGAGCTTGAAACTTGGATGCCTTAAAAAGGAGGGGGGGGGGTTGAAGGGGAGTGGCACGTGAAGCGACCGGGGCAACGTAAGATCCCAAACAGAACCAAACAAACCCAACAAACAAAGAAAGCGAAGATGGGGACGGATGGCGCGTCCGACCGGGCTGAGCCACTGTTGTGCTAAGAATAGGCGGCCACACTTGCCGTTCGTTCTCCATCTTTTCATGGCTTCCCATGACATCCCAACTGCTGTATGGCCTGCCTAGACCTTCTGGCCCACTGTCAATAAGCAGATCAACGCAAGATTCTAAAACTCTCTTGACCGTGCTCTGGTTGACTTACCACCCACTTCCACCCCCTGTCGTAGCTTGCTCATTATCTATCCCTCTTTTTTTCTTCTAACCTGTCAATCAATAAATAAATGCGAGCCTCTTCTATTGTTCCGCGAGTGGGGTCATTGTTTCTTCTGGCTGCATCATTCCTATACATATCTACTCTCATCTTTAGCATTGGACTGTGACCGTTGTCTTACCGTCCACATCTGATTTTATCATCCCTACGCTCCTCCATCAAATCTATAGTTATCGTCCTATTCTCCTAAGTCATTTTGCAACGATTTCCCTGCATATCTCTCCCCTTACACCTACATACCATATCGCCCGAGAGTCGTCTGCACAACCACAATGCGAGGACTGGGGATTCTGGCCCTCGCCCCTCTGGCAGCTGCAAAAGCTCTGCATTCGCGACAGACCGCATGCAACAACTCACCGTCACTGTGCTCCAAATCCTATGGTGAGATTACTCATCTAGGCGCACATGATAGTCCGTTTCTCCGGGATGCATCGACAGATTACTCAACCTTTGGAGATCAGTGAGTAGTTTCAGAACCACATACGCTACTCAAGCTTGGACCTGACTGACAGTCTCGCAGATATTACAACACGACTTTACAACTTGAGGCGGGCGTACGTCTCGTAACGGCGCAAGTGCACAAGTCAGATTCGGAGTGGCACTTGTGTCATACCAATTGTGACTATCTAGATGCAGGCAAGTTAAGCACATGGCTATCGGAGATAAAAACATGGTTGGACTCCAACCCAAATGATGGTATGTTGCGCACCCTCCGTTGGATGCATTGACCAGTGACAAAGCAGGAGAGCTGATATCATATGGTTGCATAGTGGTCACGGTCCTGCTTGTCAACTCGGACGATGCAACAGCATCGGATCTTCACTCGGAGTATGAGACAGCGGGTATTGGGAATTACACCTACACACCTACCTCACAGACCTCCGCGCCCAGCTCCTGGCCCACTTTACAGGAGCTGATCAACGACGGTACTCGGCTGTTATCATTTGTGGCATCGCTAGATGCCTCGAACAACACGGTGGCTCCATACCTGATGGATGAGTTCACTTACCTTTGGGAGAACCCCTACGATGTGACCTCGGCGTCGAATTTCTCCTGTACACCCGACCGTCCAACGACCGTTAAGAATGACTTGTCTGCTGCACTTTCTTCGAACCGGCTTCCCTTCATGAATCACTTTCTTTACCAGACCACCATACTCGACATTGAGTACCCAAATGTCAGCTATGTGGGCACGACCAATGCCCCTTCCGGCGGCACGGGCAACCTCGGCGATACTGCGAAGAAGTGTAAGAGTGACTACAACGGCCGTCAACCGACATTTATCCTGGTGGACTTCTTCAACAAGGGACCCGCCATTTCGACTGTGGACAGTCTGAACAATGTCACCGACGCCACCGGACGCGCCAACCTCACATCGACTACTCAAACGAGCTCCGCCTCCACGTACTCAAATGTGTTCAAGGGACTGGTAGAAACGGTTCAAAAGGCAATGGACGGGGCGAATCCCAGCATGGGAGAATGGATCTGGGCCGGCGGGGACTGGGGCAGCTTGTTGGGCGGTGGGATTGCTCTTTAAGTCTGTCGCGCGCTTCCTCCCCTCTGGCTTCCTATGGGGTTGTCTTATTCATTCTTTTTTCCTTGCGCATTAGCATCATTGCAGCTCTCTCATTGGCATACATAAGTTCAAGCTCGGCGCTTCTCAGTCTCTGTGATATCTGGATGATTTTCATGACGCTCCCTCGCTTTATGATAGTTGACATTTTACTGCACATAGAACGGCGTTTTTTGTGAGGGATCTTAAAGACTTGTCAATCCTTGTACTTATATATATGAGAATACCTTCCTTATCCGTCCATCGGTATCTTCCATGCCCCGGCAGGTGCAGGCATTTTGCCGGTCGTAAATCAGATTCAGCTCGACCACCAATGCCCTTACAACCGATGCTCACTCCTTCCCAAGCAAGGAGCGGACCTTGTTCACCTTATCCTCAAACGACTGCTCCTTATCGGTTCTGCTCCAGGGAGACGTGATACATTAGCCAACATCATCCAATTAGGCATCAACTACTGGGAGGCACTCCTAGTCGGTAGTCCGATGTCATAGGGGAAATTGAAGACCGTAGTGACTGTAAGCAGCCGGGGAATAGGAGTTGGGGGGGGGGGGAGGAAAGGGTGTCTACCTTGACCCCACCCGAATATCCGTCTGAATCCTCACGATGCCCTGCTGGTGTAGGACCGTATGCGCCTGGCCAATGACCTGATGAACTTTGTCCCAAGGGCCCTCTGTTATGCCGCAAATCCCCGCAGAGGGAGCACGCAGTCAGCCAAGAACGGGGGGGGGCGGGTAATATGATTACGAGCACGAGTCGGAGCGACAAGAAAGCATTAGGAATTCCCCGATGGGCAGGTAACAATTGCGACTGACTCACCAAGGGTTGTCCCAGCGGAGTGCATGACAAACTTGAGGCCCGACTTCTCAACCAGGCGTTGGACGTCGGCGATTTGGGCGGACACGGATGGGGACGAGGTGCCGATCTACGCGGATAGGTTAGTGCACTGAGGGAAAGTTCGTTCATTCAATAGAGCTTGCAGCTTGGGAGTTCAGGCTCGGGGGGTCCACTCCATATGGCGTTGGCAGGATAGCGTGGAATAGAATGGGTGAATGGGTGGACGGATGGGATGGATATGCATGAAGCAGTCGGGGTCGTCCCGTCATGATGAGGCATGTCATGGATGGATGCATGGAGATAAGCACTACTTGTTGGGGATACCTTGTCGATGGTGACGGAAGACAGCCTGCTATTTCGGGGCACTGGCATAGCAAAGATGCGACAAAAGGTAGTCTGTACTTACAGGAATCAAGCAGAAGTCCGCCGTGCAATGCGGGGGAGTCGGGATGGACGCGATGTCGTCCATTTTCAGATTCACCTGCTGTTGAAGCTTCAGGAAGATGCACAATTGTTTGGTGCAAGCCTAACAAATCTTTCAGAAGCCTAAAGTCAATTTCTCAGTAAGCGTGGACGATGATGAGACCTCTGAAGTTGACTGAAAGCAGCAGTAGTTGTTGTTTTTCTCGCGCTGTTCTTCCCTCACCGCGGGGCCGAATAGCGGAGGGGCAATTGGAGAGGAGGGGTGGGAACATTTCCCACGTTTTCAACTTCCCCCCTTTCCATTCGTTGACATTAACATTGAACTTGACAATAACTACTACCTCACTACGGAATACATCGCTATTCTCTCTTCTGGACCCGATGGTCGATTCTTAGTCCCACCCGGTTCTAGCATTGCACAGTACATACAGATACACAGACGGGCATCGCCAGCCATGCACCGGTCTGTGGGTTGCCGCGAACAACTCATCAAAATCTCGTTTCCCACTCCGGGGGCAGTTGATAATCATACGGTGCATCATTTAGCTGCATCTGTCCAGATTGAACATTTCTGGTCGGAATTCACGGACTCGACAGGCTAGACTAGCAATCCTTTCTTTGTGGGCCATGACAAGTATCTCTCTTACTTCGCCCGTCATCTTGTCCTTCTCCCTGGACTGTACGCTCGCCTACCAAAATGAGGGCCATAAAGTCTAACTACGATGGGTATCGTTGGATATGCAATGAACGATCCTGGGGCCGATACCAATGCCGAACGGGGCGACTATCCGGGAGACAAGAAGACAATCAAAAGCAAAAGTGACAGGAAGAGATCCCAATGGAGCTGCATGGAGAGTAAGGAATCGAAGCAAACAAGTCAACCGAGTTGCTGATTGGCGAAGGCCTTTTGAGGCTTGTTAAGAAGGGAGGATGTCTTGAGTATGCCTCCAGGGGGAGTTGCACTTCCAGCATCAATAAATGATGCCTCCAAAATCGGTCCACTGAACTTTCAAATGAACCACGGTTCACCTCGCGTCTCTAAATCCTCACCAACTTCTTCCTTCGGTCGCCTCGTACCCCCACTGCACTGTTGAGGATATCTCGTGGGCTATAACTAGCACTTTCCCATCCTTTTTCTTCTCCTCTCCTCTCTCTTTCTATGAAATAGTTGATTCTGGTGGTTCTGCCTACTCCACTCGGGTGTGACGCAGCCTCGTTGGCCGTCCGTTCCAATCGACCATTCCTCCACTAGCTCAGCCCGATGGATCAACGTTAGCCGTCCCTGGAGTATATTGCTCGCATGAGTTAGCAGAGCGAGGCAGGTTTCGTGACATTGTCGACCAGTCTATTGAATACGAACTACCTCCTGCTATCCTTATTTGACCGCCTATTGCCTGCTGTTGTGCATCAACCAAGGCAGCACGGGTTTTCTACCGACGTCTGTGTGCCCGACGCCCTGCTCTCAGCTGGGTTTATACCGGCGCTGTGATAGTCCAGCATCTCCTCTCCTCGAAACTAGTTTCTTCTATCATCATTCCCAAGTATTCGTGGCCGAGTCGCGCCAGGTGTCAGCAGATCCGCACTCCCTGAATTCAACCTCCCTCAGGGCTGATCAAGGAATTGCAAGCTTAGTGTTTCCGCCTAAGAACAGGGAGTCCGACCGCCACGGTGGCTGATGCGATTCAAATCCCTGCACAAGGCTCAGGTCCTAGATCTACAAAGTACCAAGTAATTGTTGCCCTTGCACTAAACGAGATCGGGCCGGGGGCTTTTCTATCAATATTTGGAGTGGCTCATTCCTGCACGGACGAATCAACGAGCAGAGGCTTACTTCCAAGGCAAGATCACCTGAGCCTGGTTTGGAGCGATCAGATCTCATTTTCAGCAGCTTATTCTCCATCGCCTGCAAATCAATTGGCTGGGTGTAACGAGGCTCAGTACTGACACAAGGACGTGAGAGCCTGGGAAAAAGCGAATTATTGCACTAGTTCATAGATCAGCTACTCCTGTCTGCCCACGTTATTTGACTTGCTGCTGGGCTGAACATTCGTACAGCAGGGTTTGGGAAAATCTCTTGTCCTTTTTGAGAGATCTGCATTTTCATACATCGCAGCCTACTTCTCATAAACCTTAACTGCTACATATTTTCGCCTGCGCCTTCCGGACTTTTCCTTCCTTGAAGGAACTGCTTCGGCCACGTGACTCTATACATCACGTTGCAGAACATTCCCCCTTGGCCTTTCGCTATCATCTTAAACTGCGTTGTAGGAAGACCGAGCTTGCTTTTGACTTTATGGATATGAGTTCCTGCTTTATTCATCATCCTTGACCACAGATTCCGTGAGCCCTCGACCAATGACGAAGCCTAATATGCTGGAGCTCCCGGTAGGGGCTGAGCTCGTCTATCTTGCCGAAGGGGGCGCAAACATCATCTATCGCATCCTCTTTCCCACCAAAAATGTGAAGAGGCGAAACCATCCAGAAATGCCGGTGACTGTGTCTTCCAGTCTGCCATCAGGTGTAACGGATCATTATAGTATACCCGCCAACTTCAAAGGAAAGCTGCTCCGTCTTCGGAAAGACACGAGCTCTGGAATCTCCTATCAAGAGATTACACGAAACTTCGATCAATGCATTCGACCTCTGTTCAAACCAGAAGAGCTCGTCGATCAGGAACTTGTCTGTCTTCCCAGAGGTCTGGTTCAACTATGCAATGAACAGCTTCTAGCGGCGGAGCAAGCCGGGCAGCGTCCCAAAAGACGACAAGGCGTATATCTCTCTACGACAGAGCCATTCGGCCTTCTGATAACTGACATGACCACATTCGCTAGTCCTGGGACCACGTTATCAGAGCTGAAGCCCAAGTGGCTTGCGCAATCTCCGTCAGCCCCATCTAATTCTCGGCGGTGCCGGACATGCGCACTCCGCGAAATGAAGAATCACAAGGCGCGCAAGATTGGCAAATCTGAAGAAACATCATTCTGTCCGCTGGACTTGGTGAATGACAGATTTGAGAATGTTCTCCGAGCGGCCCGGTTCGTCAAGGGATGCAAGGATCAGGCCCGCCTGGCAAAGGTACTCTATCGGAATAGTACCCTGCAGAGACTCCTAGCTCATCAGAAGAGCATGTGCGATGTGGGGCTCCATGGTCCTCCTGTCACCTCTGTCGAGAAATCGCTCGGGATGACTCTCCGTGACTGTACCATGTTCATCAGGGTGTGTTTTTCTGCTTTCTCCTGACTGGACACCCACTAAGCTAATTCTCAATGCAGATACCGAAGGATGAGACCAGTCGGGCCGAAATACGCCTCGGAGACCTAGATCTCAAAACTGGGGCGGGAGGCAAGGCGAAGTACTGGCTTGACTTGGAACATCGCCTGAATGATGAGGGCTGGTACGTGGGAGCGAGGAGCAGTGTATCTGAGAATGAGTGTGCACTACAAGGCCCACGCAATCACTCTCAACCGTCGATATAAGCTGTACAGCCATTGCTTGGTCGAGCTCCATCCACTACGACTCCAGATCTATGTCGGCACCGGGCTGGGGCCTGTAGAACCCAGTCTACGGAGCGATCATCACATTCTCGATCACCTACAACTTCACAATAACTAAACGGCCTTTCTCCGCCATCAATGCTCCTCTAAATCATTGAAGTGTATCGTTCGCTCTTCCAGCCTCTACAGAACTCCTCGGTTTCCAAGGCAACAATGCGCTAAATCTAGGCCTGATGTGTTTATGTTCGATGCTAAGCATGTAATGGCGTTCTTTGCGTGTACACTAATCAATCAGATACATTTCAGATTGCTGTTTAGTCTAATTATTGATAAGAAATACATCATTCTCTGGTCGGAATGACTCCCATCTGTCGCACATATCGAATAGATGCAGCTATGATTCCCAGCCCACTGGATAGCTTGCTTGCAGCCATGACCATTTCCAAGAGAAACCAGCCATCAGGTTCCCAAACCTCAAACTACCGCGGAGGATGATATCATGATGTCGTCCTACGCCTTAGGATATTGGATTTCAACAGTGATAGCTACAGGCTTTTGTGATTCCAACAACCAACCACAGAACAGACCATCGCAAAGCAAAGTTTCTGGCATAGAGCTTCAATCCCACGCAACACAATCAGTTTGGATCAGGTATCCGCAAGATACCTCACCAGCGGAGCGGCCATCACCAATAATCTCCGAGAGTGTTGAATTCCGCGATCCTGTCAAACTCTGATCCCTCCCCAACTGTATGCATAACCGCAAACAACCATGTCCGATCTCACCCTGACGTCACGATCTGAATTGCCTCTACTGGTCCGTTGACAGCAACACAACCATAGCCGCAAATTCATTTTAGCCACTCGGCGCTTCAAAAAGCGCGTACTTGTCGATCGTCCCCTCTGTCTCGGGACTATCCTCCAGCTCTCTGTGTCCTAATCTCCTAGATCATCCTGCGTTTCTGCACGGCACTAGTACTCGTCTCATACAATTTTCCCAGCATTCAGCGATACATAAAGATACATACACATACACGCATATCTACAGTTACACATACAGTACACCCATACACCCATACACCCATACACCCATACATACCTGGTATACATACACCTCATAGAATCCACCAAGATGGCCGGCGTCGCGGCGAAGATCAAGCAATCCTTCCAGCATGCCTTAAAACCTTTCCGCTCTACCCGATGGCGTGGGTTGATGGCGGCCAAGGACGATGATCTCGACGCGCAGTACAACTTCCCTTCCGGACGGAGGGCCGGTCAGGGGTCGGGGTCCAGATAGCTTCAATTCAGATCAGGCCCAGCCAGTCAAGTGAGTTCCATTGCAGTATGCTTTTCCTGGAGGCCACTACTGACAGACTTTTCTTCTTGCAGTGCAGCGAAAATTCATATATCCGTTCGAGGTTTCGTCATTGAAAAGTTCCGAGTCGGTTCTTGTGACACTTCTTACTGTACGTTGAAAAGATTTTAGACTAGATGCTTAAAATATAAACAAAACTGCAACTACCTATTCCTACTCTTTCGGTGCGAGAACATGATTCCACCGTGCAGGACCCCCGCCAGTACATCCTTCAGTGGGGTATGATTTCGCGTTATGTGTGTCCTCAAAACACTCAGGTTAGGATATATATAGGGGGGGGGAGTCATAAAGAGCCAGGTATAACATATATTGGAACAATTACCTCTATCATAAACAAAGTGCTGAAACATGAAAACTCCATCCGGAGACAGTCCGATATCCTGTTTCCTTGAAGGCGCAGTCTCACCGGCTCTAATTCTCTAGTCTAAGGCTTCCTCTCAGCTCCTGACAATCCCACCGTGATGTGCCTTATTATGGAACCAAATACCGAACACAGCATGAAGACTGAGACATGCATTACAAAAATACACTATGTAAAGAAATGCAGCCAAGGGGGCGTCCACCAACTGCCTCGATCTGCTGATAGCATTAACGATACCAATTATACTCTGAGTCTCCCAAGCATTCTCCCACCGGGACAGCTAGAACCAGCACCCGTGACATTAGTATCTGCCGCAGTAAAGCAAAGCACTAGCTAGTCTTATATGTTACTTACGAACTAGCCCCCGGGCCACAATCTCATCCAGCATCGCTCGGGTCAACGTTGCCACGGTCTGCGCATGGGTGTCGTGGGCCAAAACCACCGAGCCCCCAGCATTCAGACCCTCCAAAAATCTCGTGAAGCTCCTCGGGATCAGGTCCGGATGGTCGTGCGCATAGTCCTTGGTATCCACGCTTGTGCTAATCACATAGTATCCCAGTTCGCCCATGGCGGCGAGGACTTCTCCATTGATGGCGAGATAGGGCGGTCTCATGTACGTCGGAACAACGCCGATGGTCTCGTATAATGCTACTTCCAGCCGGCGCATTTGCTCGACAACCTCACCATATGGTAGAGCGGACAGACGGGCGTGATCGTACCTGAGTTTCATATCTTTTGTTCATTTTCTTGCTTTCTCGGGTGTTCCGGTCTTGTTGCAGTGGGGATGCTGGTGCGCAAGGGGCAAGGGGCAAAGGCAATGTTTCTTGCTTACGTGTGCGAACCAATCTGGTGTCCCTCGTTTAGGGTCCGGACCAAGATGTCGTGGTGGTTGGAGAGCTGGTAGCCATTGACGAAGAAGGTGGAGCGCGCGCCGTACTCGCTGAGGAGGTCGAGAAGTTGCGGAGTATAGATGCCTGGTCCGTCATCGAAGGTAAGGGCCACGGTGCCGGGAACCGCACATTGAGTGATCACTACTCCGTAGGGTACATTTCGTGCTGTATCATTTGAGGCCAGGCACACCGGGCTGGTGTCAAAGAGAATTGTGGTTAGAATGTAGAAGAAGAAAAGAAGGGATGACTTCGTAGTCTTAAAAATGAGCGACATAACTGAGATCAGTAAGAATGCGAGGGAATTATTCAGGTGATGGCTTCACCCAACTCACCAGAGGGAGGAAGAGTGCACTTAGCTTCCTTGGAGCAGATTATCATTCACTGTGGTTGTCGTGAGCTGCCAAAAGGTTGGGAAGGAGCTATACAATGCTCCCGGGCTAAAGAGCGAGCTCTCCGAGATAGGAAAGGCAGGCTTGCAGTATGGATAACAATGGAAGTCCTGCGGAAGTTACTCCGACAGACATAATATACTAAGTATAAAAAGAGGATCGTCGGACTATCATGAAGACCGTATGGTGTTGATTATGAGTAAGTTAGTTGCAGACAATGATGTCATCCTGCATACGAGAACAATGGACTTCAACAACAATGGCCCACGAGCTCCATCAGGACGATGCAACCGCAGACTTGTACTAATTATCAGACACGTTCGCCTACCGACACGAGCTCCAGATTGTCATCCTGAATCAGCCTTACCCAATCGCCCCAGAACCCCAGAGACCATGCCATTCATTGGTGCGTCCGTACCTGAACAAACGCCGCTATTAATAAGCCTATCTCCGCAATTCCGCGCGAATACGAGATCCCGTCGGAGCTCATCTCCGCAGTCCGCATAGATCTTTCTACCCGGTACAACTATAAGAACGGCACCACTTTCCCAAACAAAAAGAGGAGAACACAAACTGACTCTAGCATTCTAGTCCATCAATTGAATACCGGTGTATATACCACACAATGGCCACGCCCCGACTCCTCCTCCGCCGCTGCACCCCCGCAGTGCGCTTCACTCTCCCCCGCACCGCTCCCACCAACGCCTTGTTGACACCAGCAACCACCACAATCCGACTGTCCTCGTCCTCGTCCTCTTCCTCTGCCCCCACGACTCCCAGCGCACAATCCCTCATCTCTCTTGCCCAGAATCGCCGCACGATCTACCAACTGGGCCGCAACCACTCTGTCTCCGACGCCCAGATCGAGGAGCTCGTGCAGCAAGCCATCCTGCACGTCCCGAGCGCCTTCAATACGCAATCCACCCGCCTGGTCGTCGTCCTGCACAAGGAGCACGAGCGACTGTGGGATCTCGTGATTGGCGTGTTCCAGAACCTGGTCAAAACGGGCGCGGTGCCCGAGCAGGTGTGGAAGAACCAAACCTTGCCCAAGTTGGAGGGGTTCAAGGCTGCGGTTGGGACGGTGAGTTTTCGTTCCCACCTTGTATTTGTGCCGCGCACTTTGTATCTGCCCTCGGTTTAGACTGGAGTGAGTCTGAGGGTCCGAGTTCTGACTGATGTTTTGCACATAGGTCCTCTTCTACGAAGATCCGGCGCACATCAAGCCGTTTTCCGAGAAGTTTGCGCTCTACAAAGATCAATTTGCACCATGGGCGCAACATTCGAATGCTATGCATCAGTATTTCTGTGAGTTCTTCTCTTGCGTCATTGTTTCGTCTTTTACACCCTCCTGTTCCCTTGGCGTTGCTGTTGCGGCAGTAAAGGGGGAGCTCGTTTGTCTGATGGGCAGCGCCGGCTGACTTTCGGTGACTTTGTCAAGTGTGGACTGGCCTCGAGGCTCTGGGATTCGGCGCCAACCTGCAGCACTATAATCCCCTGATTGATGCGCCGGTGGCGGAGGCGTGGAATGTGCCTAAGGAGTGGAAGCTGGGTGCGCAGTTGGTGTTTGGCAGTCCGGAGGGAGCTCCGGGGCCGAAGGAGCAGAAGCCTGTCGAGGAGAGGGTTAAGATCTATGGGAAACTGTAGACAATCGGGGATACCATGATGGTATCCACCGGGGAGGAGGGAATACTGTACGGTAGGATTGCTTCTCGTAGTAGACTAGATAGATGTAGATTACAGGATAGATCTAACGGTGTGCATCTTCGAATCCATAAAGCTTATATCAAGAGGGTCTTCTAATACGAATGGTCTCAACGTTGTAGGTAAAACATGACTTGTGGGCTCTACGGTACTCGGTCAGCCGTTGGTTGCGCCTAAATACCGGTCAAGGGTCGCAACTTCGTAAATGACAAGAATCTCAACCTGACCAGCAGATCGGGAGCGTCCCCTGGAGATCAACACATTTTCACTTCTCTTCACGCGCGACCAGAACAGCAAAAGTCGATTACTCAATCCTGTGAGCCAAGCTTTGATCCTTTTAGACCTCACGTCTCCAACTTAAAAAATTCCATCCAAACAGCATAATCGCTTCAACGACGCCAAGTGGTATATTCCAACCCAGAGAACTAATGCCGCTTATAACGCCCCCGCCATCTATATGTTATCATGCCAAAACACAAAATAAAACCGTAACGATAAAACCTCCGGCGCCCTCGCGAAGCGCAACAATGAAGAAGCAAGATCACAAATCAGAAAAAGTCCTGCTCATCCAGCCACTGGGAATCGATCGCGTAGGCGACTAGATCCGCAGCACAGCACATGTCTTCATGTCCGTGTTCGAGGTCGAGCAGTTCCAGCACGGCGGTCAATCTCTTCTCGAGCGTCTGCTTCAAATCCAAGACACCATCAGCGTGAACAGGGGTCACCGTCGGCGGCGTTTGTGGCTTGAGGGCGTTCTTCTTGGATGCAGCGGACGGTCTGAGGCCCTTGTTGGGTGAGCATGGGGCCAGGGGTTGACGAGGTGCTGGGAGCGAGGGGCCCTCGGGTTTTTTGTTCTTAAGAAGGGCCTGGAGGAGAAAGAGGAGCCAGACGAGGTTGGTTCGAGGGGCGTACTCGGCCCAGATTCCCGCGATGTCCGGGCATTTTTCCGTCTTGAGGGGTTCGCCGTGATAGAGCTGGGCGCGCATGCTGAAGGTCAAGATAGTCAGCTGATCATGCACTGGGGATGACAACGTCCGAGGTACTTCCGGTCCTACTCACTATCGGTATGTGTTTCTGAGCATGATCTCATCCTCATCCCGTCCGATTGCATCGAAAATCTGTTTCTTGTCGAGGTCTGACGAGGCAATCTCGAAGGCCTCGGCCGCTTCGCTGAGGTGCAGTTGTGCGCGAGACAAAGAATAGTCGATGATGGTCGTCTCGAGGGAGCTGAGTCCGAAGCCACTTTTGTACGACTGATGCATGATCTCTTTGTTTGTGGGTGGATCCATGCACCCCCCTGGCCGAGTACTCCGGATACAGACGTTGCCTAAATGTAGGTCGCGGTGCTATTGGATGTCAGGATTGAGAATAGCTGGCGGAAGATTAAGAGCTTACCTCGAACAATGCGTATTCCTCCGCCCGAGCAAGCGCCATTGCCACTCCCCAGAAGATATCGTAAATCTGGAAGATAGAAGTCCAAGCGAACTTCTCCAGTTCGCAGCCAGCATCATCCATTTCCACAATCGCCCACAATTGCGAGTCGGGATAGGCCCGTTTACTAGATGGGTTCGGATTCCAGCAGTCGTCCTTGGTCTTCTTGTAGTGGTCCCAGGCTTTCTGGAACGAATCGGGAAACCGGCCCTGAACCACATGGATTTCTCTGAAGCGAGCAAACCCTGGGATCGGATCCAGGTATTTGAGCATCTTGACTTCGGACACGATCTCATCAATGCTGGTAAACTTCTTCGAGCCTGGCCCACTCTGAGCCCGCAAGGGCACAACTTTGAAGACCCCGTCGCCATAGGCCTTCAGGCGCGCGAGCTTGGATCTGGACATCTCCTTCTTGCACACCTCCTCTCGTAATCGAAGTTTGTAGACCTCTCCATAAGACCCTTCCGCAATTTTGACCACCTCTAACATGTTCCCAGCCCGGCCAGCCCACGAGTCAAACTTCTGGACACTCTGCGCCGCGGCTACGGACAGCGCCTCATTCAAGATCGGGCGAACATATTCATTAGCCTTGTCATCCGTAACACAACCAGACGACACCCGAGCCACTGGCTTGTCCTTGTTCCTTCGTGATGTCCTCGTCTCAGGTTCTATGAAAGCTTCGCACGTCTTGTTCCGTCGTCGGGTTCGCTCTGTCGGGGTCTTAGGACTGATGCGGACTTCCACCATCGTGTCGTACCGTGGCTTCGCTGCTTGACGGGTTTTTGTCTCCTGTGCATCGGTGTCCTTCAGTTGCACTTGCGCTTGTTCGTCGTTTTCCGGCTCATCTTGTGGTTTCGAAGTTCGGACGGACCGATCCCTAGCAGAAGTAGGCTTTACCTCCTTCTCTTCAACCGACTGCACGACCTCAGGTCGGTCCTCTGAGACCGTCTTGCTCGTCTTTCCAGATTTACCCTTCCTCGTCAGGTTTATAGGCGTGCTTTTCTCCTCAATCGCCACCTCCGCTAGTTTCACCCGCACACCCTCCACAGCATCCTCGCCGCTCTCCTTCTCGTTCTTCTCGGGTTGCAACCACTCCGGAGCCTTAGCAGGGCTTCGCTGATCAAGCACCGCCCTCGGGGCATCTGCCCTCCTCTTTCCGTACACCTTTCTCTGCGCGACGGTGCGGGTTCTGGTTGCCGCTCGAGGAACCCGTGGCTGATGGTCACCGGTCGCAGCGACCGGGGAGGAAGGCGAAAACATGACGGCTTAGTGTGTGGCACACTTCGCTGGTAAAAGGAGACTTTCGATGATAGTCAATGGGCTCGCTGCCCGCGAATGTGAGGGACGCTGGGAGATTACCGATTGCGTTGATGCGAAAGAGACAGCTGCAGCGGACGCATACCGCAGAGGTAGCTTATTGTTCTCTTACCGCCTTAGGCTTAGTGCGAGTCGTTGCTGAGGAGAAAGAAAAACAGCGGACTGATTATGTAAGTGGACCTGGCATTCATAGTCTCATACTCCCCAAAAAGGTAAAAAGGAGGTACATATGAACTGTAACGAAATGGACAAAAGGGGTTACGGGCAGAGGAAGGAGAGGAGTCATCTAGAAGGTACATCTAGCAATGCGCGCTTGCCCGATCATGAGATTCCTCGGTACAGTACACATGTCAATGCATCTATACTTCTTTGTGTGCGCTAGTATGTACAAGGGAAGCATTCACTGCAAGAAACAATAAAACTATCCATGTGGTTGATTTCAAGCTCTACTTTTTGGTCAAAAGCAATTGCGGAGTACATCATGCTGGTTGTCTAGCAAATAACAGAAAATATGCCTGGCTTGTAGGCCAGAGCGTGAATGTTGCCTACCTCAGCAAGTAAGCCAGCGGGCAGGAATCGAAACCCGTCGGGCAACCTCCATACAACCCTTGAACTGGATCTGGGGCACCGCAGTCTGAAGTTTCCTTTTCGGTCACTGTGAAGTAGCGGGGCATGTTCACAAGGGATGTCAGTGAATCTACTCCGTACCGTACTCCCGTACTCTGTAAATAGCGTCGACACGGGCTAGCCGGGAGTTTCACAGGGACGGGTGGACCGGGAATGAGGGAAAAATTCCCACTCTGTTTTCCAGCACGGGCCTTTCATTTGGAATGTGAAGATCCAGTCAGGAGAGACGGGAATAAGGATGGATTTAATGCAAAGAAGGCACGGATGGATGGATGGAAGGAAGGGACGAAAGGTCAGCCGATAACTAAGTTGGTTTGTTTAATTTAGTCCAGTAGTTAGGAGAAGAGTCATCAGGTTCTCTCATTCATAATTCTCAATTGAACATAACAATCGAATCTTCGGAGCAGAACGGAAGACAGAATCTAAAAGCCGACAGTGACGTTATCCGTTCCCCTTTTGGCCGCTGAGCTTTTTTCTGTTGCTTCTTCATAGACCCAAGACACCACACAGCGCTGCGGTCGCAAACACTGCTGCTGGGTCGCATCGGGCCAGGATCTTCCAAAGATACAATATCGATATCACTCTCATGTTTGAAATCAAATTGAGATCCCTACAGGTAGCACGGGAAGCTATAACGAGAGCTATAAAGGTCTGTCGCGTCGATCACGCGAGCGCCGTAGGATTACCGGATTGAGCCAGCAATCCCTCGGGAAATGTTCGCCGCTCGTCTTTTTTTTCCTTCCAATCCATCCGCCATCCATTTTTATTCAGTCTTCTCCCATTATTCACGGTCGGCTTATCGGCGCATCGACCCATTTCCTCCTCCTCCACCACCACCACCACCATTATTTCCTCCTCCCCCTTCTCCATCACTCTGCCTGCTCCTTCCCCTTCTTACCCCGGCCTCTTGTCACTCTCCTCACTTGTTGGCCTTGTAATGGGTCAATAAATAGGCTTACTTAAATTTGGTCCCTGTGCCCTTGTGTTCCGTCTCTCTGTATTCCTTCCCCATGTCGGCACGTTCGAATTAAACCAAAAAAAAAAGTGACTCCATCCTTTCGATGAGCGACGATGGCGTTCAACTTCAACTGGTCGCCGCTTATGGCGGACGCGAGTTTCTATACTCGCGCCCAAGATCTGCTGACTGCCGCTTTGAATAAATCTCCCAAACCGCCCATCATCGTGGACGATATCATCGTGACTGAATTGAATCTCGGTTCCATCCCGCCCGAACTGGAGATCCTGGAAATTGGGGATCTGGCGGAGGATCGCTTTCGGGGCATTTTCAAGATGTCATACACTGGAGACGCCTTTCTCACCCTTAAGACGCGAGTACAAGCGAATCCTCTCAACACCTATCTTCTCACCCGACCGTCGTTCGCGACTCCCATGCCCGTCGCCGCAGCGTGAGTGTGACTCCTACAAGCGAACCCTATTTTCACGCACTCTGAACTTCTTCTGTTAACATCTTCACTTGCTGCATCACAGAACTCCTCTCACCATACCTTTGCAAATTACCCTCTCCGATTTCAAACTTTCCGGCTTCGTCATATTAGTATTCTCCAAGCAAAAAGGAATCACTGTTGTCTTCCGGAATGATCCACTCGAATCCCTCAAAGTCTCCTCGACTTTCGATTCCATTCCCTTTGTGCGCGACTTCTTGCAAAGAGAGATAGAGGCACAGCTTCGGATTCTGTTTATGGACGAATTGCCTGCTATCATTCACCGTCTATCCCTTCGATTATGGGTTCCAGAATATCGCGCTGGTGAAGAGCTTCAGAACGAAGCTGCGGACAATGCAGGCGAAGGCCCAGGCCAAGATCCCCTGGCAAGCCCGCCACAAGACCCTGTCGATGCCTCTGGAAACGCTTTGGATGAGTCGGAAATCGCCTCTCTTTCCCTCGATTCGACCGTTGAGACCCATTCTCTATTCTCCCAAAAGAACCTTCTCCGATTAGCGGCACTTACGGATTCCCAGCGGACGCTATCACTTTTCACTCCATCTATTCAGGAAGTTGTATACCGCGCGTGGACTTCGCCTTCCGACTCGGGCGATCTTTCTGGAGGCGTGACGTCACCTCTTAGCTCAGTTCTCTCTAGGAGTCATTCGCAGATTGGGGGCCTGTCCTCTTCCTTCCAGGACACAGCCAGCATGGTGTCCGCGCACAGTCGGTCTTCTGTGAACACGCACACTTTCAGCAGCTACGGATTGAATTTGGGTTCTGGTCGTCATTCGAAATCCAACGCGAGAAAGCGGAAGAAGCGTGTCGTTGATTTGCGTCGTCCCAAGACTACAGATGATGCTGTCAGCGTAAGTGGTGAGAGTACCTATACGGAGACCACGAGCGCCGCATCGGTTTACTCAGCTCCTCTACCTGTGGTGAGCGAGCAGACCGATGACCCAGTGACGCCCCCTCTTTCGCCAAGTAGTGACCTTCATCTTCCGACAATCCCCGAACGACATCGTGCCAGTCTATCTAGACCTGCTATGCCACGGCGCAATATCGCAACTGAAATGTTGCGGGACGTCGGTGAATCATCATCCTCTGCGGCTCCCCGTCATCCTGCAGTTGTTGACGTGGATGCCACTCCTCGGACTTCTACACATCTGCACATGTCCTCCCACCGGGAGAGCGAGAAGCAGCAAGAAGCAGGTGTAACCCGCAACTTGCCTGCGACGGCCCTCCCGTTCACAGATGCCAAACCAGCCTCCAGCGTGGTGGATCAAGCGCTGGTCGAAAGACTCGCCGGAGAAATTGCTCGTCGCATGCGCGACGAGAAGCTGACCCCTGGTGGCAACTGCAGTGCGTTTTGGGATCGTCTAAGTCATGAAGATGCTCCGCCGGCATATGGTCAATGATCATATTTTTAAACTCACTTTCACCTTTCTCTCTTCTTATCGGGATTGTTACTGTGCTCAGTGCAGTCCTCGAGGCTCCTGGTTCAGGAGTAATTTACGACCGCTACGACATTGATATTAATCTGTCAGCTCTGCTTTTTATTTTGATTCTGATTATCTTGTGGGGTGAACTTTGGAGCGGGTGCTAGAACTTGTATATTGATTGGGCTGTATCCATAAAAGAACCGGGCGTGGATTTGTGTGATTTGTGCTATTTGTGCTTCTGTGAGCGACATGCTTTCTTTCAGGGATACCACCTCGCTCGCTGACTGACTCTCTTTGACATTGTAAATACGTCTATCTCATTTCCCTCTCTTTGCCCTGATTCCCATCAGTCTCAGTGTTGTTGCTGCAGGTGAACCAAGTCTTGAGAACTGGCTCCGCAATTGAGGATAAACATCCTAACAATCAGGAAATTTACTACTTCCGTCCTGTCGCTTATTTGTAATTGACCGTGGGTGTAAGAGTATGAGTAAGTAAACACAGGGTCCTGTGGACGGGGAGTCCCCGTCCCAACTGGCGTAGGAGGCCGGCGGCTCCACCAGCCGAACTCGGCAGGCTCCGATTGCGACAAACGTCAACCGACCCAAAGCCTAAGCCAAACTTCCTCCTCCTCTTCGCTTCCTTCCGTCGCCACGTCGCCAGATCCTCGCCTGTCAACATCTCGGACTTTCCAACTCCCCCCAAATCTCGTCATGGCGGGCATGTTCCAAAACTTATTTGGAGGCTCGCAGCCTTCCAACCCGGCCAGGGTCGACGATGGTAAAGTCACGCACGCAGCCCCATTTCCCAAAATCCGGGGTCGAGCTCCATCCAGCCCCGACCGACCCATGAAACACCCCAGCTCCAGCCTCTTCTAACAATTTTATCCTTTAGATTTCGCCGACTTCGTTGAGGCCCCAGAGCCCTCTCCGGCTTCCCTCGTCCCCGGCTCGTCCACCATTCCGGCCATCAACACCCACGGAGTGGGCGCTGGTAGCCCGGTCCCGTATACCAAATGGTACCGGGTGTGGGAGCGGACCTCGCCGCAGGACTTCATGCAGGAAGCCATGGTCATGCCGATCATCCTGCTGATTGTCATTTTCCACTTCTGGGGCACCCGCAAGAACCGGCGTCGGGCCCGCGACTGGGCACAAGCGCACGCGTCTGCCTTGCAGAGTGAGTTCGCCGTCGTCGGCTTCGAGGGCACCAAGACCGAGGAAGCCCCCTCCCCGGATGCCTTGCTCAAGGAGCGGTCGGCGCAGGAGTTTGCGTCCTACGCCACGGGCCGCCAGAACGTGGCCTTTGTGGACGTTTCCGTTAAGCTGCCCAAGCGGTACAATCCTGTGATCTTCTGGACCGAGTCTGTGTTCAGCTTCCTCTTCGAGAGCTGGGAGGCGCCCACCGAGATTTACGAGGCCACCGCGTACACCTTCGACGGCAAGGAGAAGGATGTGGTGCCCGTGCCCGCGAACGACACCTCGTCCCTGAAAGTCAACAACTCGACCTACGACGGCTTCGTCTGGGCGATCGTGCACAAGAACCACATGCGCAAGTTCCGCCAGGAGCGCTACGATGCCTCTCTCACCTTCACCCGCGAGAACCCCAAGCTTCCCAGCTGGGTTACCATCATGACGGAGAGCGCCGAGATCACCGACGTGCTCCTCACCCCCGAGCTGATCCAGGCCGTCGAGAAAGCCGGCTCTGACTTCAAGTACCTGATCGTGACCGACCAGCCGATCGACAAGCCCTTGAAGTATGATAATGCCCCTCGTTTCTTTCTCCTCGACACGTCCTCGGAGTCAAAGCACTAACATCCTTCCCTTAGGATCGAGGAAACCACCCCCCGTAAACGCATCCAGCTCGCCATGACCCTCCCCTCCTCGGCCGCCGGCTACGCCACCTCCATCCCCCTCTTCTCGCAGTTCGTGCGCCTGGCCGACCGCCTCGTCGCCGTCGCCCACTTCCGCCCCGAGGTCACCCGCAAGATCCGCCACACCCGCGAGGAGGAGATCAAGAAGCTGCGTCGCGCGGACGAGGAGGAGAAGGCCGAGGAGCGCCGCCTCGCCGCTGAGAAGATCAAGAAGGAGGAGCGCGAGCGCCTCCTCCGCGGTATGTCGGCCGACGAGCAGCGGAAGTACTTGGATCGCGAGTCGCAGAAGGAGCAGAGACGGATGATGAAGAGAAGCACCCGTCGGGGTTAGTTTGCGTCGCGGTTTTTTTCGCCCCGGCGGAGCGGCTGACAATCTTCTCTTGACCATTTTTCTTTCTTTCTGTACCGAGGCACATAGGGGAACAAAGACCTGGGGGAACAAAAGTTTATTTACAACGTCATGGTGGTGGCTTTTCGCCCTATCCTGCTTGTCCCCTTTGTCTCTGCATGCTTGCTTCCCTTCCTGTACTCTTGGGGTGATGATGATGGTGATGCATACTTTCATGTACAATGTATTCATAATTAGCTGAACTGAGATGATGGGGTTTGGTTGGTGGTGGGTGGGTCTCTCTATTAATGCATCTACCTATCTTTCAAATGATACCGAGATGGACTTGTCGCTGTCAACTGGGTGCTATCTGTAGTAGGACCGGCAGCTCGTTGCGCGTAGGTCAACTCACATACGTGCCTCTCTACCGACCCCATCGAACCCTGAGCCCGTTGAATGAGGTACAATATCCCATCGTAATCTACAACAAGCGGAAGTACAGTAGTACACATAGTCTATCATAAATACTCAAAAACAACCAAAACAACGCCAAATCCAACAAGCACGAGTAAACCCCACTCAGCCGCCCGCAGCCAGGAAACTCAACAAACTCCCCAGCGTCAGCCCGGCGACGAGCATCAACCCCATAAACGCGCCAGCGGGCTCGCGCTCCTCGGGCGGGACCAGCCCGGCGCCCATCATACAGTTACTGCCGAGGTAGCCATTGGAGACGCCGAACAGCAGCTGCACGACGACCAAATAGAAGAAATCACTCGGGACGACGGCGCCGCGGCCGCCGATGTTGCACAGCTGGTAGAGTGGGATGAAGGCGGCGCGGGCGCAGGCGAAGCCCAGCAGCGCCGCGGGGCCCCAGGGCCGGCGCACCAGCGACAGCGGCGGCCACAAGACCAGCATCCGGCCGAGGAGGTCGCCGGCGTTCCAGAAGAGGAAGGCCAGCGGGATGAAGACGGGGGCGTCGAAGAGGCGCGAGGACGACGACCCGTGCTGGTTCACGGATTCGATCTGCGCGGTGAAGACCGGGAAGGTCATCGTGATGGTGAAGCAGAGGATCATGGCCAGGGCGGTGGGCCGGAGGCGCTGGAAGAGGGTCCACAGGCTGATGGTTTGGGTTTTCGGGTTGGAGTCGGTGGGGTCATCGTCTGAGGTGTTGTCGTCGTCGTTTTCGGTGGTGCTGATGATGCTGGTGGTGATATTGAGGCTGGGGACGTGGGAGCGGCGTTTGACGAGGGAGGTAAAGGCGATCAGCGCGAGGGAGGAGACCGCGGTTGCTGTGATGAAGTACGCGAAGGCCGATTTGGAGGATTCCTGCGGGGGCGCTGCGGGGTGGTTTTGATCGTTGTCGGTATCGCCTCCCCCTCCCCCTCCTCGGTTGGCGGCGACGGAGAGAACGGAGATGATCTGGACGATGCAGGGGAGTACGCCGGCCACGCCCTGACCGCTCATGATGGCCTGCGTGTACTCCTCGCGTCCGAAGCCGGCAACGTACGCATAGACGCCATTCTGGTTGATGCCCGTGGCGAGGCTGGCTCCGAAGACCATGAACATCAAGAAGCCGAAGTAGGTGGCCACGGAGACATCTTTCATGAAGATGGTCGAGAAGGCTAGGAGGGTGAAGACCACGATGTTGATCAGCAGCGAGACAACCGTCCGCTTGGGGTAGGAGGCGCCTTTCTGGAGCTTGGCGAGGATGAAGGACGACCCCAGGTTCGTGACCGTCGACACGGTCAGGATCGAGGGCTGATAATGAGTCGCTGCCCAGTCGTCCGTCCGAAAGCGATGGTGGAAGTATGGAGCTGCTGCGAGGAACATGTTCCTACAGTCATCGAGGCACGCTGATTAGCGAGCGGGCGCTATATAGTTGGTGGACGAGAAGGAGAAGGCATTGTGCTGGTCACTCGGGGCTCACAATAAACGTACCATGCCCATAGCATAGAGACCCCCAAGAGGAGGAACACCGCATACTCATACGCGGAGAAAGGGGCCTGCTGCGGCGCCGTCGACGCGGCATCCCCGGCCTCGGACTCGTTATCCTCGTTATCCGACTCCGCAGGCTGCTGGATTGCCTCATACGTCACTTGCGGAGCAAACTGTTTGCGGATACGGTTCATTGTTATGGCTGTAGAAGGGTCCCTTGGTGGAGAGCTAAGAGAGACTCGGCGAGGAGGAAGATTAATCCATAGTATGGAATGTAGGTCGGGTGAAATGAGGACAAGACGAGGTCACGATGCGAGAGATCAGCAGTGAAGGTGGTCGGTCATGAGGGCGTGCCGGACAGTTGCAGTGCCAAGACTGGCTGACTGGCTGACTGACTGATCACGTTCGGGTGACTAAGACAGGCAGGAAATGTACATTTATGAGAGGTTGACTAAGTAGGCGAGTTGGGTATTTCTTCTTCTGTACGATCGATCGCTCTATCCAGTCATCCAGGAACAATAATAGAAAATACAAAACCACAGAAATGTTACATACATCGTCAGGCGCTCCACCTTCTAGGAACAAGTATATATGAGTGAGCCACCTCCCGACAAAAAAGCAAGCCCGGTGGTCTTCGCGGCTCGAAAACGTCAAACATGTAAATATAGAACTGAAGAATGCTTGAAAGGGCCTGTCCAGTGACTCCTTCTATTGCTTCTGCTGAGCAGTCTCCTCGCGAGGCTCTTCAGCTTCATCTTCAACATTCTCATTCTCCAACTGCCACAACTTCTCCTCTGTCTCAGGACTGACCGGTGCCCGAGGAGGAGTCGCATCGCCGCCACTCAATTGCCATTCCATCAATTTAGTAAATGCTCCATCAGGGCGAGAACTGAGCTCCTCATAGCTGCCTTGCTCAGCCACCTTGCCATCAGGAGCAAGCACGATGATTGTGTCCGATCGCTTGATAGTAGAAAGCCGGTGGGCGATGCTAATAGTCGTGTTGTTGCCGCGGAGCAAGGCAGCAAGGGCACTGTTAACAAGGGTCTCAGACTCCGCGTCGAGCGCAGAAGTCGCCTCGTCCAAAATCAGAATATCAGGATCCTTAATCAGAGCGCGAGCAATGGCAATGCGTTGCTTCTGGCCACCAGAGAGTTGAGCTCCGCGAGGTCCAACCTGAGTGTCAAGGCCATCCGGCTACCGAATATGTGTCAGCTGTGAATATTTCCCAAATCATTTCATTCACTCACAAAGTCACTGATAAATTGACAGTTCGCCTTCCTGGCAGCCGCGATGATTTCTGACCGAGTCGCGTGGGGACTTCCATAGGAGATGTTCTCGGCAATTGTTCCAGAAAACAAGACAGGCTCCTGTGCAACTACACCTATCTTCCTGCGGAGAGACTTGGCATTCATCTCACTGATATCCTTGCCACCGACCAGAACGCGTCCTGCAGTGGGGTTATAGAATCGCAGCAAGATAGAGCCAATGGTGGACTTTCCTCCGCCTGATGGTCCGACAATGGCGACGTTTGTACCCTGAGGAATCTCGAAATTGAGATCGCGGAAGATAGGAACCGCAGGGCGGGTAGGGTAACTGAACGAAACATTCTCGAACCGAATGGGGCCACGGGCGGATTCAACCTTAACGCCCTTTGTGGGTGATATCGTTGGCTGTCGGTCCTGCAACTCAAATAGACGACTAGCCGCACCGACACCTTTCATCAATTCGGAATAGAAGCTAGAGAGACCAAACATGCTGGACCCAGCATAGGCAGTATACATCAAGAAAGATGTGAGTTCTCCAATGCTGATGGCGCCTGATTTGACCATTCCACCTCCAACATAGAGCAGAGCAAGAATGGTCATATTACCCATGAATCCGGTCTACAGGGAAGTCAGCAAAAGTTCAACAAAGATCGACACAGGGTACCATACAGAACTAAAAAAGGTCGCGCTGATCAGAGACTCTCTCTTGCCGAGCTCGAAGATCTTGCGAACTTGAGTATTGTAGCGGTTGACCTCAAGGATCTCACCAGCAAAGGATTGGCTAGTCTTCACGTTGCCCAAACGTTCTTCGGCGATCTTGGTAAGGGTTCCGAGATTCCTCTGGATCTTGCGGCTCAGGTTTCGAATCGATCTTCCATAGAAGAAAGCTCCTAAACCAATCGGAGGAAGCAAAAGCGCCAGGATACTGGACAACTTGAGACTGACATAAGCCATGAGACCGAATCCTGCCACGCCACTTACAGTCGCCCGGAGACCGTCGGAGAGATTCTGAGTGATACTTTTACCAACGATGATCGTGTCGGAGCCAAGACGTGAGATCAGATCACCTACGCGGTTCGCATCGAAGAATTCCGCATCTTGAATAAAGGTCTTCCGGAACAAGTTCGAACGGAGCCGAGCAACGACGCGCTCGCCGACGATACGGAGAATGACAATGCGACCATAGTTAGCGGCAGCACCCAGGGTCATGATTCCGGCCAATGCACCATAGAACATAGGTACACTCAAGCCGAAAAGCTGATCCGGAGCGCCCTCATCCGCTGTCTCGTTGTCTTGCGCGGACTTCGTGGCTGCGTCCATGATTTTGCCGATTGAAAAGGGAATAGACATCGTGATACCCGAAGAGATGAGCAGGAAGAAGAAAGCGAACCCGAGCTTTTTAGCCTCTGGGCGGGCGATGGATAGCAGTCGCCAGATCTCCTTGAAGCCGGCATTCTTTCCTGAAGCTCCGTCTTTGGCTAGCTTCGCTCGGAGGTTGACCTTAGCTGCCTGAGCTGCCCGTTCCGAAAGTTCAAATCCCTTGTCCAGATCCTCGTCGTCCTTAACCTGTGTCGTGTCTTTTTTAGTTTGCGACGGTGTCGTCTGACCAGTTGGTCTGGCCTCCTGTAATATCTGAGAGGAGGAGAAGAGGCGCATATATCCAAGCATCTGCGATCGATCAATTGCGGTTCGTGCGCTATTGACGTGAGAGAGCGGCGATCCGGAGGGTAGAGGGGTTCCGTGGTAATTGCGTAATATGCTCGACGGTCCTGAAAAGTGTCTCTTGGATCCAAGAAAGGTCGTCCCAAGGGGAGAGGCATTATTCTGGGGAAACAGTTCAGAAGCGATGCTTCCACTTGTTCGAGCTGTCTGTCTGGCAGCTACTCCTGGAGCCCAGGAGGCCAGCAGCCTGGCTCCGCGCATGTCGGAGAAGTGTAGAGGGCGGGATCAGATAGCTGCGGAGATGAACGGCGTTTGAGGAAACCAGGGTGCCATATCCTGCTAGATGCTCTCAGAAATCATGGAGTACATGCCCTAGACGAGCTCAACTTTGCTGTTTCTGAGGGCTGGTTGTGAGGTTGATGGAGGGGAAAGCCAGGAAGCTGGAGGTCAGCCGCGAAGCCCGCCGAACCTCCGGTCCCGAGCATCGCTGCTTCGGCCTGGCATCGGCGACGGTTCTGCCCTCCCTCGCCGCCTGCTGTGATTCCGCCGCTATCGAAGCTGGTCGAGAGCATTCGATGGATGTTGAAGCAGCAGTCTGCGCTTGTTGCTGTGGTTGCGCTCGATTGATTTATTTTCCTGTTGGAATAAAGAGACCTACTTTCTGATCTGAAATTCTCCACCTTAATCACAACCATACCAAACCAGGCTGTGTTTTGCAGTACTAGTTTAAACAGTTGCTGTTTTGCTGCCTACCCCACCCCCACCTCTCCTTAACTATACTTCCTTGAACATCTGCACCACTCAATCCACCATGGTTCTCGACTACAGCAAATGGGATGCTCTCGAGCTGTCAGATGACTCCGATATCGAAGTGCATCCCAATGTCGATAAGCGCTCCTTCATCCGAGCCAAACAGGCTCAGATCCACCAGCAGCGTGTGCAGCGCCGTCATGAGATTCAAACCTTCAAGTATGAGCGCATAATCAACGATGGCTTACTCGCCCGCATCGACAAGCTTCTTACACTCCTGAAGCAAAATGAAGGCTCTTCCAAGAGCCCCGAGGAATTCGTCTTCCAGGCTTTAATGGAGTTCGCCAGTAACCCGTCAGAGGATCTGCCTCCCCCGCCGCCGGAGGGAGTGCATACGCAAGAGAAGGAACAACCCAAGTATTCTCAGATGATGGGTGCCCTGGTTGATCAGGTGAAGAAAGAAATTGGTGAAGTCAGTGACGATAAGCTTTTCTCGGAATACATAAAGGGCGTGCAGGGACATAAGGAAAAGGTGCAAGGTCTACAGAAAGAGCTTCACCAAAGACTTGCGCAACTGGAGAAGGAGGAGAGTAGCAAGATCACTAGCGATCAGCTGCATACTGGCTTTGACACTTCGCATATCGCCAGGGGAGGCGAAATCCAGGGCCAAGGCTCGTCGGCGAAGACCCAGACGGTCGAGCTTCTGAACCCCGGAGCTTCAGCTGGTGCTTCATCCCAGGAACCTGCCGCCGATAATGAGGATGAGGATGAGGACCCAGAGGACATGAAGGCTAGTGACCTAGCCAAGCGGTTTGCCAAGATCGACCGCGGCGATTACCGCGCTTTGTTGCAGTTCATCTCCGCGAACCCCCAGATCGTTGCCGAGCGAGAGACCGATGGCCTCCTTGTGGAGGCCTTCAATAGCCAGATGGAAGGCAAGGATGAGTATGCCCGTCAATGTGTCCACCAGGCATTGCTGTTGCAATATTGCCGGTCCCTCGGTCGCGACGGCATCTCTCTATTTTTCAAACGGTGCGTGGATGAAGTGTTTACCCGTGAAGACAATCCGCTAACATTTACCTCACATTCCAGTATCACAACGGCAGACCACCAGGCCGGAACCCTTTTCCGAAATGACGTGAACGAGACCTATAACAAGATCAAGACGCGTGCTGCACAGCTCGCCAAGGATGGCTCTGCATCTAACGATCCGGCTGGTGTGGAACAGATCCAGTTGCATGCGGTTGATCCCAACACCAAGATCAGCATTGCTATCCCTGCAGCCGAGAGTCAGGATCCCATTGAGGTGGAGGCGCGCAAGGTCTTCGAGTCCTTTTCGAAGGAAATGCAGAACGCGTTGGCATCGGAGTCTCTGGACGAAGTCAATAAGGTTCTTGGAGAATTGAGCGTTGAAGAGGCGGAGGATGTCGTTGAAAAGCTGGGACAATTCGGCATGCTAAGTCTTGAGGAAGGCATTGTCGACGCCACGACTGAAGAAGGTCGGAAGAAGCTGGAAGAAATCGAGGCGGAGAACAAGAGGGAGAAGGAAGAGATAGGTGAGCCAGGAGGTGATATCACCGAGCTGGATTGAGTAGTGTGAACGTACAGCCTATATGTCATTG